GCAGCAGCAGCGGCCAGCCCGGTGTTCCTGTGGGCTCTTTTGCGCTGCCGTTTGTTTAGAAAGGCCCCAGGGCCATTCCGAGGGGCCTTGAATGTGCTGCTGAGCTCAGAGCGTGCTGCGGCTGCTGCTGCTGCGTTTGCTGCCGCTGCTGCTGCTGGCGGCGCTGCTGCCGCTGCTGCTGCTGCTGCTGCTGCTGTTTCTCCGTGCTGGGAGCTGCTGGGACCTGTCTCCTGGCCGCAGCTGCTTGCGCATTTTATCTGCTGCCACTGAGACAGAAGAGAGCCTGTCTTGGGCGCGAGAGGAGCGGGCAGTGGCGGGGCCAGGCAGACACCCCCAGCTGTACATACACCGGGTGGCCGCGGGGCAGCAGCAGCAGCCCGCCGCTGCAGCACCGCCGGAAGCCTAACAAGTCCCAGAGATTCTGCGAAGTCTCCAGCCAGCCTTGAGCTGCAGGTAAAAGCAGCACAGATCTCTGCTGCTCCCGAAGGGGGCGCTCGCGCTCTGCGTACAACCCCACACGAGCAGCAGCGGCAGCGCCAGCAGCAGCAGCAGCCCGCTGCTGCTGCTGCTGCACACCGCCAACCCGTTCGGCCACGCGTCTGTGCCCCTTTCCCCCTAAATTTCCCCGTTCCTTTCAATCAATCTTATTTTTATTATTTAATTTGTTGAAACAGCTTTTAGCTGCGCGTTTGGGCGGCTGATGCAGTGGAAACGCGGCCCGCGAGCACCCGCTGTGAACGCTCCCCGCATGAAGCCGCTGCTGCCATCGAACGGGAAAGCTTTGGCTCACTGCTGCTTCTCTTTTGCATTCTTTTTTATTTATTTATTTATTTTTAATCATTATCTGCCTCGAAAAAATTTCTTTGCTGCAGATCCCGGCAGAAACAGCGGCGTGCTCGCGCCGCGCCGCCCGTTGCAGCCGACCCAGCTGAACCGCCGCTCCCGCAGTAGCAGCAGCAGCAACAGCGGATGCAGCAGCAGCAGCTGCTGCAGCAACGGAAATCTGCTGAGGGGCAATTTGTTTTTGTTTTATTGTCTTGTTTGGCTGCCTGGGGCTGCACAAGCAGCAGCCGCTCGCTCGTCTGCTGCCGAGCCTCCCTGTTGAGTCCCCCAGGGCGATCGACGCGGGGCCACAAAGGACTTAGCCGCAATTTGGTCGAATTAGCCATTGAACTGCTGCTGCTTTTAATTAATAATTCCTTTTAAGAGCTTATTGGCCAAAATTGCGCGAGAACAGCCCCAAAAGCCCCCTTAAATGGCCCGGGATACACTTGCCCGCGGGACCCCCGCTTGTCCCCCGCGCCAGGCTCGCTGCAGCAGAAGCACTGCAGCAGCTAGCCACAGCTAGCCACAGCTAGCCACAGCTAGCCGTAGCAAGCTATAGGGAGCTGCGTTTAGACAGCAGCTTGCAGCCAGAAGCTCGCCGAGCCCGGGTTCGAGCCGGCGCCTGCTCCTGCTGCTGCAGCTGCTGCAGCAGCAGCAGCAGCTGCTGCTGCTGCAGCTCGCCTCACTGCGCCTCTGCCCACTAAAGGCGCCGTTGTTTCGGGGCCCCGGGCCCTCTGGGGGGCCCTCAGAGGCTGCGGGCTTTACCAGAAGCAGCAAAAGCTGGGGACATCGAAATAAAAGCAACTCTAGAGCTTGCAGCTAGCAGCAGCAAGCTGCTGCTCCCCTGCTGCTGCAGGGGCCCCCTGCACCCCTAGCTAAGGGCCCCCTGAGGCGCTTACCCGCGCTGCAGCCCCAGAGGGCCCCACGGCCTCACTAGGAGGCCTAAGGGCCCTTTTGGAGGCCCCAAAGGGCCCCTCAGGAGGCCCCAAAGGGTCCCTTAGGGGGCCCCCTAGGGGTCCCTCAGGGGGCCCCCAAGGGCCCCTTAGGGGGCCCCAAAGACCTACTTAATGGGGTCCTTTTGGCAGCCTTTAAGTGGTACTCTTCGCGGGGCCCTAAAGGCCCTTTAGGAGGCCCCAAAGGGCTCTTCAAGAGGCCTAGTTTGGCCCTTTAAATGACCCTTTGGGGCCCCTCAAAAGCCTAAAAGTTGGCAACTTTAAAAGGTTCCACAAGTCATTTTCGCAGCAGCAGCAAGAGCAGCAGGAGCTCTGGCTTCAGTAGTCTCTGCCTTAAAAAGGGGAGTGCCGAGCCCCGCCGGTCCAAGAGTTTCTCTTCAGCTTCATTTAGCTCTAAAATTTCCTCCTAAGGAGCCTGAAGCATTGCCGCTGCTGCTGCGCTGCTGCTGCTGCGCTGCTGCTGCTGCGCTGCTGCTGCTGTGTAGCTGCTGCCGTGCTGCTGCTGCTGTGCTGCTGCTGCTGTGCTGCTGCTGCACCAGGCTCATACCTAGCTGCGGGCGCGCCCGCCCGCGCCCGCAAGTGCCGTTGCTGCTGCAGCAGAGCTGCCGCCCGTGCTGCTCCTACTGCTGCCTGCCGCTGCTGCTGCTGCAGCAAGGACCCCCAGGCTCCCCAGTTCTCAGCAGCTCACTGCAGCAATTTAAATCAGAATTTAATAAACCCACATACAAGCCAGGGGCCTTCAGGCAAAGCTGCATTTGCCTGGCTGCCTAGGCACTGGGGCGCATGCAGGCGCCCATGGGCATTTGGGTAACAGAGGCAGCTGGTTGCAGCTAGCTGTGGCTAGCTGCAGCTAGCTGTGTTTGACTGCAGCTATCTGTGGCTATCTACAGCAAGCTGTGGCTGTCTGCAGCTAGCAGTGGCTAGCTGTAGCTAGCCGTGGGTGGTTGCATCTGTAACTAGTTGTAGTTAGCCGTGGATATCTGCAGCTAGCTGCAGCTAGCTGCAGCTAGCTAGCTGTGGCTATCTGTAGCTAGCTGTGACTAGCTGTAGCTAGCTGCAGGCACAGGCCTGCGGGGGGCGCTTCAATAGGGCTGGCTGGGGAGGCCTCTGCTGCTCCTTTCACTGATGGAGGCCCACTGTAGCCGCAGCAGCAAATGCTGCTGGGGTACATCCAGGGCCTCACAGCAGCAGCGCAGCAGCAGCACAGCAGCAGTACAGCAGCAGCGCAGCATCAGCACAGCAGCAGCGCAGCAGCAGCGCAGCAGCAGTGCGGGCCGCGCCCCTTAGACCAGCGGAAGCCGCGGGGGGCCAGGGGCCCCTTGGGGCCCCCGCTGGCCTTAGGGGCCCCCGGGCATGGCTGGGGGCCCCCCAAGGGCCCTCTGTGGGACCCCCTATGATAAGGTACCTTTGGTAGGCCCTTTAGTTTAAACTAAGTCTGTCTTAAGCTGCTTCTGGCTGGCCTTTAGGGCCTCTTTTGCTGCTGCTGCTGCTGCACTGCAGCGTTTGTTCCCAGCAGCAGTTTGCTGCGCGGCTGCAGTCTTTAAGGGCCCCTTCTCTGCTGCTAAACTGATTCTTGGGGGCGCCTAAGGGGGGCCCCGACAGTACCCAAAAAGGGCCCCTGATGGGCCTCAAAAAGACCAGAAGAGGCCCCCTTAGGGGCATCTTTTGGGGCCAAACGAGGCCCCACCAAAACTCCAGGGGGCCCCCCGTGGGGTACAGAAAGCAAGGAGTGTACCTGTCTGCTGCTGCTTGCTGCTTTGCTGCTTTGCTGCTTTGCTGTTGTGCTGCTGTGCTGCTCCCTTTATTTGTTTGCTGTGCTGCTTGCTGCTTTGCTGCTTTGCTGTTTTGCTGCTTTGCTGTTGTGCTGCTGTGCTGCTCCATCTATTTACTTGCTGTGCTGCTTTGCTGCTTTGCTGCTGTGCTGCTTCCTCTATTTGTTTGCTGTGCTGCTTTGCTGCTCTGCTGCTGTGCTACTGTGCTGCTGTACTGCTGTGCTGCTTTGCTGCTGTGCTACTCTGCTGCTTTGCTGCTTTGCTACTGTGCTGCTGTGCTGCTGTGCTGCTGTGCTGCTCCCTTCATTTGTTTGCTGCCTGTTTGTCTCTTCTTCAACTCGACGGCAAAAGAGCAATGACGCCCAAAGGCAAGAGGTGTCAGTTTGCTGGCGCCCACATGATCAGTGTTGCTGCTGCTGCAGCAGCAACAGCAGCAGCAGCAGCGCCCCACAATGCTGCTGCTGCCGCAACAGCAGCATGGGCTGTTGCCTCGGAGATTCAGGATACCCCTGATAACCCGCACTTCCAAGAAGCACCAGACAAAAAGTCTGCTGCTGCAGAAGCAAAAGCTGCACGCATTCGATCCATTGCTGGCAACTTGCGGCTTCTGGTCTGCTGCTGCTGCTGCTGCTGCTGCCACAATTCGGCCACCACTCAAGAGTCTATCGCCTGGGTCTCCTGAGGCGCCGTGTCTTGGTAGTGCATTAAAATCCACTGCAATATTTGGTTCCTGCAGCAGCAGCAGCAGCAGCAGCAAGAGCAGCAGCAGCAGCAGCAAGAGCAACCAACTCGCCATGATCCAAAGACACAAACGGCTCGGGCCAAAAAGAAGACAAAAGGAGAAGCCCCGGGAAGATGAGAGCAGCAGAAACGGGAAAGTGGAAGCAGCAGCGAGCAGCAGCAAGCAGCAGCGAGCAGCAGCAAGCAGCAGCGAGATGCAGCAAGCAGCAGCAGGCAAAGCGCCACAGTAAGATAGCAGCAGCAGGCGGAAAGGCAAGAAAGCAGCAAATATGAACCGCCGCGGATGGGGCCCAAGGAAACAATGGCCAGCAGCAACAAAGCAGCAGACAGAGGCAGCAGCAGACACAAACAGCAGCAGCAGCGCAGGGGCCGTCAGCGCCCAGCAGCAGCGCAAAGGGAACAGCAGCGATGCGAGGCTAGCGAGCCGCAGCACGCGAAGAGCAGCAAACGGAAAGCCCCGCAACAGCACAAGCAACTGCAGCAGCAGCAGCAACTGCAGCAGCAGCAGCAGCAGGAGCAGCTATGAAATCCCCAGCTAGCTTACACAGACAGTTCAGGGTGCATGCGCTTCATCTTGTTCAGGCTCTGCACCCACCAGTCCGCCCGCGAGGGCTCCACCAGCAGCAGCCGGTGGCTGCCGCTGCAGCAGCGCAGCACATAAACGCGGCCGCAGGGCAGCAGATTCAGCAGCAGCAGCAGCAGCAGAAACGACAGCTGCAACGGCACTCGTAGCGGCGGCGACCAGCTGCAGCAGCAGCAAGATCAGCAGCACAGCAGCTGCAGCAGCTGCAAGAGCAGCGGCAGCAGCAAGAGCAGCCCCGGGGAGAACAGCAGCAGCAGCCGCAGCAGCAGCAGCAGCCGCAGCAGCAGCAGGAGCAGCAGGAGGGGCGGCTGACGCGTGGTGGGAGTGGAAGCGCGGGGGCTTTGCTGCTGCAGTGGCCCTGCACTTGCCGCACAAGTCAAAGTTTGCTGCTGCTGCCAAGCAGTCCAGACACTTGAAGCGGGGCCCCACAATCGGCAGCTGGCCGCAAATGTGGCAAATCACTCCGTAGTGTACGAACACCTCGGGCTCCAGCAGCCACGGCCGCAGCAGCGCGCCCTCCAGCTGTACGTACACCCCAGCCGCGCGCCCCACACCTCTCCAAGACCCTCCCAGCAGCAACAAAGCGGACTGCCACAGCCGACTAGCAGCAGCAAATTTAAAGAGCTACAGCCCAACTAGCAGCAGCAAGTCACAAGCAATTCGCGGGATCAAGCGCTTCATTTAATGATCACGAGGCCCCACAGGGGCCCCACAAAGGGCCCCACAGGGGCCCCACAGGGGTCCCCACAAAATGCCTCACAGGGAGTCCCACAGGGGCCCCACAGGAATCCCATAGGGACCCTGTGGGGCCCCACAGGGGGCCTCGCAGGGGGCCCCACAGTGTGGCGTAGCTACGCCCGGAGTGTACGCATGCAGAAATACCTCTTCTGGGTCATCCACAGCGCTTGAGGGTTCTCGGCTGTCTCGGGGAACGGGAACAGCAGCAGCAGCAACAACGGCAGCAGCAGCAGCAGCAGCAGCTCTCTCGCTGGCCGTTTCCGCCGATTCGGAGGCGCCCCTAGCCGCGTCAACGGCAGCGTCCGGGGCTGCCTGCTGCTGCTGCTGCTGCTGCGGCTCCTGCTGCTGCTGCTGCTGCTGCGGCCCCTGCTGCTGCTGCTGCTGCGGCTCCTGCTGCAGCAGCTGGCGGTGCCTGCTGCCGGGCCCCTGCAGCAGCGGCAGGGGCGCAGCCACGGGCTCGGAGTCTCTGCTGAAGTCCGGCAAAAACTCTTCATCAGTTTCCATTTCTTCCGGAGGATTATCTCCTCTGTTTCTGCTGAGGGCCGGGGGGGGGGGCCCCCTTCTCCAGACGGGGCCCACGTTGAGGGGCCCCTCTTCGGTGTCGCTGGGCACTTCTTCGTCCTCCCCTGTTGCTGCTGCTGCTGCTGCTGCTGCTGCTGGGAGCGGCTGGGGGCGGGGGGGCGCCTGCTGCGCGCGCGCCCAGAGCTCGTCCGCCTTCGCTGCTGCAGCAGCAACGCGGACGTCGACTGTGAGGTGCAGCGGCAGCAGCTGGGGGGCCTCTCTGTGCAGCAGCAGCAGCAAAGTTTTGCTGCTGAGGGGCAGTGCGTCCGTGGCAGCACCTGGGGGGCCCCGGGCTATCAGAAAGTGGGGAGGACTTTTAAAAGATTTATCTTTTTCAAATTCTGCCACTTCCTGGTCCCTTCTTGCTGCTGCTGCTGGGTACTTGAGGTGTACGTACAGGTGTACCGGCCGACACACCGGAGGCAAAGAAGAAAAAGCAGATCGACATAAAGGACAAAAGGAAATGTCGTAGATGTTCATCGACCGGTACGCGCACCAGAAGCAAAACAAATGACCTGCAGCAGCAGCAGCAGCAGCAGGGGCAACGGCAGCGGCAAACGCGGGATGCAGCCGCGAGCGGAGCTCGCCGCGGTGAAAGAAACAGCAGCAGCAGCAGCAGCAGCAGCAGAGCAAATCAAGAAGAGCAGGCGGCAGCAGCAGCCTCTGAGGCGCTCCGCTGAGAGCAACGGCTGCGACTGTAACGCAACAGCAGCAGCAACAGCAGCAGCAACAGCAGCACCGTACCGCACTGCAGCAAAACGGGCTTCTGCAGCAAGTCGCAGCAGACGCAGCAGATAAGCTCTCGGTGGATTTCCTCTCCCTGGTCACCCTTCTTATTTGCGGCTGCGGCTTCTCCTCGCGCTGCAGTTGGTGCTGCTGCTGCTGCTGCTGCTGTTGTGGCGGCTGGGGCTGCCGGCGCTGCTGCTTCGCCCGAAGGAGCTGCACCGGGATGTGCTGCTGCCTCTGCTGCTGCCGCGCCGCCCCCAGCTGCTGCTGCAGGTGCTGCTGCTTGCAGAGTTAAAAGGGAGGTCTCTAGAAGCCGTGCTGCTGCTGCTGCTGTGTCTCCCGTTGCAGGCGCGGTGGTTTCTGCTGGCGTTGCTGCTGGCGTGGCAGCTGCCGTTGCTGCTGCTGTTGCTGCTGCTGTTGCTGCTGCTGTTGCTGCTGCTGTTGCTGCTGCTGTTGCTGCTGCTGTTGCTGCAGCATCTTGACCCCCAGCCTGCAGCGTCTCCTGTGCAAGGCGCAGCACAAAGCTCGCCTCTTCTGCTGCCAGACCCTCTTGGGGCCCCCCCGACTGCGCCTGCCCCATCAGCTGCTGCTGCTGCTGCCGCTGCAGCTGATGCCCCTGCGGCCGCAGCACAGAAGCAAAGATCACTGCAGCAAATAATGATCTGGCCACAAGCCTCGGCCCCTCCACCCCTAAACCCCAGAGCTAAACCCTAGCTCACCACACTGGCTTGGGGACTTGCGGAGTTGCTGCAGCAGCTGCAGCAGCAGCAGCAGCAGCAAGGAGGCAAGAGCGCAGCAAGATCCCTGCCAGCTGCTGCGCTGTGGCCTCAGGAAGGGCGCCCTGAGCTCTTTGCTGCCGCCTTGGGGCTCGAAGGTCACGGCTAACGCGAGGGTCACCGAAAGAGCGCTGCGGGCTCTTCTGGCGGTGCTGCTGCAGCAGCTGCAGCAGCAGCAGCAGCAACAGCAGCAGAAGACGCAGCAAAAACAGAGCAGGAGGGTGCTTCCCCGGTGCTGCGCTGCTGCTGCTGCGGCTGTGGACGGAGCTGCTCCTGCGGCTCGCGCTGCCAGCAAGGCCAGGGGGAGGAAGAGGCAGCGGCAGCAGCAGCAGCAGCAGAGCCTCCAAAAATAAGAAATATCTATACGGTGAGCCTATAATTTCTAAAATTCATTAAAGCTGTTACTGTGGTTCCAGAAGCAGCAGCGGCAGCAGCGCCTTCAGGGCCCCTCAGCAGCGGCACCGTCTGGCCAGCAGCAGCAGCAAGTGCCCTTGCTGCTGTTGCTGCTGCTGCGCCGCTGGGCCTCCAACAGCAGCCACCCCCGAGGCTTTAGAATCGCAGTAATACATCTGTTAGACTCTGCTGCTTCTGTTTAGCAGCAGCAACGCTCCTTGCCGCTGCTGCTGCCGGCACTGCAGGTCCTGCCACAGGCGGTCAGCATCGACACACAGCGATAGCCGCCGCCGCCGCTGGCGCCGCTGCAGTAGCAGCAGCAGCAGCAGCAGCAGCTGAACACTCCAAGGCTTTGGCTCTTTTTCTGCATTCTAATTCTAACTTCGAGGGCTACAAGGCCTAGCATTTCCCCCTTGAGCTGCAGGGGCCCCCGGGGGGGCCCCGTGTGTCTTCTTGCTGCAGAGCAGCGGCGGTGTCTCCTGGCCCCCTCGCCCCAGCAGCGGCTGCAGCTGAAGCAGTCGCTGCAGCAAGAGCAGCAGCAACAACAGCAGCAACGACAGCAGCAGCAGCAATGGATTAGTAGCTTTACTGCTCAATGCGCAGCCACTGCGGCGCCCGCTTAAGGACCGCCGCCCCCGGTGTCTTCTCTGCTGCAGCTGTGCTGCTCCGGGGTCCCCGCTGCAGAAGCAAGCAGCAGGAGCACCAGCAGCTGCAGGGGCTTCAGCAGCAGCGGCAGCAGCAGCATATACCAATATGTGCGGCAGCAAGCACGCGCAGGGGGCCCCGGGGAGTAGGGGGGCCCCCATTGGGGCCCCTCACAGCCCCCCGCTGGCATCAAGCGTCTCTTGACAGCGGCAGCGGGAGGCTCTATTGCAGCAGCAGCAGCAGAATGTTTTTCTATAGCAGCAGCAGCAGCAACAGCAACGATGCCAAGATCAGCAGCAGCAGCAGCTCCGCCTGTGGCAGCAGAGGCTGCAGCGCCGGCGAAAGCACCGTAGGCACCACCAGCAGCAGCACAAGCTCCAGCAGCAGCGACAGCAGCAGCAGCAGCAGCAGCGGCACCCCAGTGTTCCCATGGCTTGACGACGTCCTGCCGAGTGATTCGCGGTGGCGAAAGACACGAGTGGCGCGCAGCAGCAGCAGCAGCAACAGCAGCAGCAGCAGCAGCAGCTACGGGCCGCCCCAGTTCGATTCTACGCAGGCAGAACTCTCCTTTCACAAAGACAGGACTTTAGGGGACCCCTCAGGCGCCGCTGCTGAGAACGAGGGGGCGGAGGAGG